AAGCGTGATCTGGTCTTCGGTCAACCCGCAGGCTTCGAGAATGGACTCAGCCTCTTCAGTCAAGCCGTGAGACTTGGCGGTAAGATAGGCCAGAGGGTCTGCTTGAGAGTTAGCTGAGTATAGTCACGCTGGTCACAAAATCACTTACACAAATCGACTTCCTTGAACATCTGAATTCTGTCTTCAACATCGCCACGGTAGATAGCATTCTGGAACCGAGATGTGAAGTCCCCGCGATGCTCTGCAATCTTGGCCATCCTGGCCAATTTTTCAGAATCACCGGTGGACAAGTAAAGGAAGGAAAGCTTGTCGAAGTTCCTCTGCTTCTGATACGTCATCTCCACAGTTTGGTGGTTGCCGTGAGCCAGAGCTTCCATTCCCAGTCTGCTCCACAACTTCGGGCGGTCCAGCTCGCGCGCCATCTCGATGGCAACTTCCAGGTTACCACACTCGAGAGCAAGCTCAAAACGAGTCTGAGGGTCCTGCACGAACTGCAGGGCAATCTCAGGGTAGCCCTTCTTTTGCAGATACGAAATGATACTTTGCCCGACCAAGCTGGAGGTCTTGATAATCTGCAGCATCTCGTCGTAGTTGCGCTTAACCAGGGCGAGCTTGAAGCGGTACTCGGTAGGGTCAATTTCGAGAACCCTAGGCTTGGCATTACGATCCAGACAGTAAACGCTTCTGCCCTTCACCTTGACGAGGTACACGGTGTGGTCCAAAGTGCGGATTATGCCGTTGTCCCTACGAGGTTGTTAGCATCGGCATCAGCTAATGAAGGGGGAAATCTGTACACATACCCGTTTAGAAGAGAGTACTTCACGTGGTTCAAGGTCGAGTAAAGAAGGACGCCTGCGTCATCCCACGCCGCGCTCTTGATGCGAATGGTCTCGTGCAGGCTGCTCACTTGCTCGAGGGACTTGGTAACAATGGTAACATTGTGCTTGCTGAGCAAAGCAGCATAGAGTCCATCATTTGACCAAACAACGTACTTGACACCGCTCACTGCAAGCTCTGCCAGCTGCTTCTTCTGTTGGATGTCAAAGAGAACCACGGAGGTGGGTGTAATGAAGAGTAAAGCTCCGGTTCCACCAAAGTAAATATCAGTTGTTCCAGAAGGCGGCTTAATAGTTTTTGTGGTAGAGTTGCTTAGATCCTTGATGTCCACCTGTTGATTGGCCTGGCTGAAGACAGCAAATCGATTACGGGCGACGAAGACGGCGGAAGAAGCTTGGCCACGCTTGACGTCCGTCGGCTCGACAGCGCCAGTTGCATCCCTCGGAAGGTGGATCAACTCGTACGCACCACCATCAGTGGGAGATGTGACGAGAATGGCGCGCTCAGCGGGGTTGTAAGAAAGGGTTCTTGGCGGCACCCACGGTGATCCCAACTTGCGTAGTGAAAGCATCGGCGGCGACTCAACATTCTTGGCAAAGTCGTATGATTTCACATGCTTCTCCTTCGTGATGTAAAACAATTKGTTTTGGTAAACAGCAGACGCGGGTCTTTCTCTCTCCAGCTTGAATACCATGACACCGGTGTCGTGACCAGCTGCAAAGAGGTTGATTTCGGGGTGGGCAGCGATGACCCAGAACCGATCCACGTCACGTTTGAAAGACTGCACCGAGGTTCTCTTGTTCAAGTCCCACACTCGGATGGTCTTGTCTTCGCCGACGGAGAGAATCAAATCCTGGTGGGGGTGGAATAGACAAGCGGAGGCGTTCTGGAAATGGCCCCTGCATGTATCGACTTCCCAGGCTTTCGTGTCTACAGCGTAGTGTCAGGAGATCCAAAAAATCATTTGAACAAGAATAACAGCATCTTTGGCACGTACCACTCATTCTCCACAGCTTGACCAGGCGATCGTCTCCCGCGGAGACGATCAGAGGCAGAGTTGGGTGGAAAGACACCCAGTTCACACCTCGGTCGTGGCCCTCCAGGACAAATTTCACAACAGCGTCGGTGTTTCCAAACATATCCGCCTGGCTGGGGTTGGCTCGAGCCATCTGGTCTTCGAATGTCATGGATGTCGGTGCCGAATGCTTCTTCCGCAGCCCGGAAATATCCCAAATGCGAACAGACTGATCGAGCGACGCGGAAGCGATTAGGTCCTCTGTCGGATGGAACTGTGCACACATCACATAATGATTGTGGCCCGTCATTGTGCAGACTGAAACTCAAGTCAGCGTCGCTTGTCCGGACAAGTGGCCAGAGCCCACTTACTCAACGATCTGTTCTGCCAATTCCATATTCTTATTGTTTGATCATCGGAGGCAGAGAGGATCCAAGGAAGTTCGCGGTGGAAGAATACCGTGCGCACGTAGTCGAGATGCCCGTTCAAGGTGAAAAGACATCTTCGGGTCTGAAGACTCCAGACCTTAATCTTGTAGTCGTCGCCTCCGGAGACGAAGAGGGGTTGTGTCGGGTGGAAATCAATGCCGCGAACAGGTCCATCGTGCTCTTCAAAGCGATCAATCAAAGTTCCCATGCGATAATCCCATAATTGAATCGTCGACGAGTGGAGTGAAACAAGGATCCATGGTCTGTTCCAGGGTCAGCAGTTTCTCGATTGCAACGCGTTAAGCAGCCCATCCAGGACTGACCGTTTAGGATGAAAAGCAATTCCCTTCGCACGAGACGACTTCGACTCGAACTATTCGTTAAGCAATTGTTTAGTTGAGTGACTTGGTTTGCGCGGGGATAGGGGGCACCGGAGGGGGAGCAACGTACCTTGGTAAGCATGTTTGGGGAGGACTGCATCTTGGAAAGCTGGCCGGAGCCGCACCATTCAGTAGCAAGCTCCGCACACTGATATAAAGAAAATCACAAACGTGATCACCTCATCCACTGCCACAGGGTGAATGGGTAGGAGCAAAGCGAGGAACGTCTGGACTATGGGGACGGATAGTCTGGACACCTAACGATGGCGGTAACGTGGACTTATTGAGGTCGGGTGTGTTCCAGGCGGCGAGCCAATAAGCGAGTCCCGCGGTCCAATGATGGGCCCGGCGGTGAGAAGCTGCCAGGTACACCGATTTTGAGCCTCTGTAGGGAGTATTGCAGTAATAAACTTCATGCTTTTTCCAATTGACAATTAGAGACCTCGAGTAAAGATTGACAATGTTTGAAGACTAAGGTACTCATGATTGAGTACCTGAGAAGGGTTGTGTGGCTACGACATACTCTGTCGAATAAAATACTCAAACTCGATCTCTGAGAAAGGCACAACCCGTGCATTGGAACAGATTATATACTTCCACTCGCGATCCTCGGACTAACAAGTAGGACCAAACAATGGCTAGAAGAACGCATTTTTCTCTGCTCGTTATCAAGCTTTCGAACCGATCCTATGAGTTGATTTGGCAATATCGAGCTATTTACTTTATAGGTAGGCCGAGGTGTGATGAACACCCAGTACTGTGGATATGTCCCAGATCGGAAATATACAAGACCTTGACTGAGCAATCACACTTGCAAAATATATTGGTCTTTTGAGAAGAAAGTCAAATAAATGCATTTTCGTCAATCTCAAGCTCAATTGATCGTATCCTACTTGACAAGTCTGTTGAGCACCAATTAGACCCTTTGTCCAAGTACTTGACTTCATGCGGGCTGAAGGCTAGGTTTGGTCCAATTGCGAGTTCAAACAAGGATATTTAGCACAAAATCTTTGGCTGCATTTCAAATCTCCCTCTTCCTGCTCTTTCTCGTTTATAGTGGTGGTATGATGGCATCTGCACCGCAACTCCACCAACCGATAAGACTACGTCCTCTTATCAGCACCCATCGCACTCATCATTCCAACCAAGGTACCCCAGCATCAAACGTAACGCAATGTCAAAGTCTCGTCAGGCTACGAATGACGACCTTGATGAGATATTTTCTGATGAGTCCAGTTTCTACGGTACAGCCTGTCTACCTGGACCTGGTCTTAATGTCCATATATTCTAACTATTGAGAATAATAGGCGATGACGCAGAAAAGTCCCGTTTGGAAGAGCTAGCCCAATCGTACGACCCAGTACTGTACTGGACAAACATCCACCCATATTTGCTATCTACGATCCAGCATGAATTACAAGCCCCCAAACCCATTCCTACACCCTCCGATGGCGATCAAGCCAAAAGCGAATTGGCATTAGTAACAGACGTGCTCGCCGAGATCCCTCTCGCAACACTGCGCCGCAATGCGCGCGGCCCAGAAGAGCCCCTCCACGACTTCCTAGCGCGCCTGCCCCCATCTACGACAAAGGAGAAAGATGTTGGGCCATGGATATACGTCACGAATCCGCACCGCAAAGCCGATCCAGACGAGCAGGCTATCGCCAAACTCGTCCGTGAGGGAACCGAACTACTTCACAGATTCGAGGACCAGAAAGCAGAGTTAGAAGCGGAGCATGATCGCTCGAGGTCCAAATCCAAGGCAGTGCTGACGCGCAAGGTGAACCCGTTGCGGCGGACATTGGAACAGGATATCTTCGCGCTGGCGCGAAAGACAGGTGTCGTGTCTGGGAAATGGATGATGTTTATAACCGCCGATCGTGTGGATAGGTATTGGGAGGCTGTTGTGACTGGGACTGTGTCTGGGCAATTGGGCGATGCGGCCAAGGTTGCGACGGACGATGGCTTAGGGAGGCCGCGGTTGATCGCAATCTACACGAGAGATTATGCGGATAGGCAAGACGTAAAACGCGTGCTTGAACAGATGGTAGATTTGGGTCTTGTGAAGCCAGACGAAAGGCCTATCTACTACAAGTGTGACGCATTCACGTACCTGCGCATCATGAGCGATAACCCATACGGCCTCAAGGCGAGCATGGCCTCCAGTCGGGATGTGTTGGCAGGTAAGGTGTGAATAGTCGAATGGGAAGATATAGGCTAAGGTTGAATAATGATGCCTATGGAAATGATCAGAGAAGTCAATAAATCCCATTCAAAAACTATCTAAGTCATTTGAAATTCAACTCAGATGCAAGTATCCTCAAGTCAGACCCAGTAGCTCTACATCATACTGCATCCGCCTTTCTGGCATTGCTCAAGATACGATAGCTCCTCTCCAGAGACTGTCCGGTCGCCGGGCTTGCGTTTGACGCCCTGGATCTTTATGTTGTGATCACCGTTGGTATGCCACCAGCGTAAGCGCTGAAATTTGACGGAATGTATCTCTGGATAGTCAATCGTCCACTCTCCACTGCTGACAGAAACCACAGTGTGAGTGCCTGGGAAGTGGAAGTCAGGGAGATATATCTCCGTTGCGGCCTGTCCCAGCCCTTTCTTTTCCCCAAGTAGTCTCATGTTGAATACGCAATTCTTGAGATCAAAACCGTATTGCAATATATGGCCGTTTGTTATAATTGGACTCGGACGAACCCATGCCTCTGCAGCCCGGAACCCTAGTCTGTCCTGGGATGACTGAGAGATCTCAGATGATATAGAGGGTGATTGAAGAGCCTGCTTCAAATCGCGTGGACCCACTTGGTAGCTCTCGGTGTTGCGTTGGCTCTCAGAGTATGCTGGAGACTGAGGATCGCGTTGGGTTTCGTTCTCAAAGGCGAGAAGCTTGCCACTTGGCAGTTCTAGATCGTCAAGAGAGTATATCGACAAGTCTTCCCCATTCCAGTTGTCACCCCATTCATGATTATTCTCAAATGTGCGTCAGTTGCTGGACCTATGAAAACTCTCGGCGCCAGGTAGCATAGATATACTTACGGATGTTGTATATAACCATAATGTGAATCCGTTGGCAGTGCTGCCTTCGATTGCGAAATGGTTCGCGTCCATAGCACTGACTTGACCGCTATAGTCTCCTGTCTTGTATGCATGCCTGTCGTCCATATCGAACGGAATGCCGATCTCCGTGAAAATCAAAGGATGAGTCCCCATATATCTCAAACTCTCATCCCTTAGAAACTTGAGCTGATCACGCAGGCAATTTCGAATCGCTGTCTCTCCAATTTTGACGGCGAATGCTGGTGTGAGATATTTTCCACGAAGGACGCCTATGACATCAACGTTGTAAAGGCGATTCCTGGGGCAGTTAGCAGAATAGGCCAGACTCAGGCTGTTTCACTCACCAATGCTTCGTCAATAGAGTAACGCCGTCGTAATAATGCACAGCATGAACCATGTTCGGGTCGTCATCAACTGTTCCCTTTAGATCGGGAGGCACCTCCATGACAGGGGGTTGGCAGAAAAGGATGGCTTCCGGCCAGACACTCCTGAGAGCATCTCTATAAGCTCTGTAATGCTCCATAAAATATGTATTGGTAAATTTGTCATAGTTCAAGGGTTCACCGGTTTGAGGCTTTTTGGCGAAATAATCCTTTCGCTGGAGTTGATCTGAGGACGGATCCCAGACGCCATGTTGGGCCCAAAGACATTCTCCAAGCTTCCAGCCAGGATCCCTGACCCAGCCATACTTGCTGTCATCGTAATCAGCCGGAAGCCATGCCGTCTCGCCCTCGGGGTCCACGAGCTCCCTGCCGGTCTGATAGGGACCAAATCCGCCAAAAGCCCAGGTAGTCTCTTCGCATGCTCGCCCAGAGCCCGTCAACATGGCCTGAAAAGCAGTAGGCGACGTTCCTAACTGCAGTTGCTGCTCGGGTGGAATCACAGATATATCTTGCACCCCAATCAGCCCTCTATTAGGCTCATTCATGCTTTCCCAACCAATGACTACTTCGTCCTCGATGTCGCCGGCCTCGTGAATCTTCTGAGCAAAATATCTGCACGCGGCAATGAAATGGCCCTGGAGATAGTCTTGAATGTTCATGCCATCTATGATGGCCTTCGGCGCAAAATCCCTGCCTCCATAGAACAACGTGAACATCGTCTGACAAACAAGCCTCGTGTAGTTAGTGCTCCATATCATCTTCGGGAATTCGGCCGGATCATCGAATGTGTTTTGAACGAGGGCTGCCTCGGTCTTCTTGAAGCCTCTGGGGTTGAAACCTGCGGCGTATAGTGTCCATGCTGGGGCACCGGAACCTCCCGAGAGTCTTGACCACTTTAGGCTGTCAGCTACACAGAGCTCTGTTCTGGGACTGGGTTCTATCAAAAACATACAACGTCCTGATGCGGATCAAGGAACACGTAAAACCCATACTGCTTTGCAATCCGAAGAACCTCGATAGTGAATGAGATCCATTCATCGTCATATCTGCCTGGGCCCGCATGCTCGATGGCTTCCCAAGTGAAAACATATCTAATGGTATTGTAACCCCATTTTCGTAACCTGGAGAAGTGCGTGTGCGCATCGTCAAGAGAGAACGGTCGACCCACGAATGAGACGTCATCGGCATCGAAGAAGCCATCTGACACGTAAGAGGGGATATCGGGTTTCTTGGGATATTTGGCCTCCCCAGCCACATTGATGCCTCTCAAAGTGATTTCACGATTGTCAGGGTCTCTGAACGTCTGACCGTCAACTCTAAGCCGCAGCACACCCATAGTTACTGTGTGGTCGAAAGTCTCCTATGCTGACTGGTGGAGACAAGGGAGGAGAATATAGGCCGACGACCTCCGCAGCAAATCGACGGTGAGTAGTCCTCTAGTCGAGTATGCTTAGTAGGGCAGTCCCCAAAAAATTTATCGAGCAGAATCTACTATATGCATAGGAAGGTCAGCAACAACATGCAGAATGTTGGTCATGATCAAGTGAATGATCAATGAGAGCACTGACCCTCTGATAGCTTGCTGAACTGTTGGTTAATGACCGCCCAACTTGATCATCAACAGGTACTGAGGATCAAACAACAAAAAATAAATCTAAAGGAACAGAGATTCTAATAAATCTGGGAGGTCATATGTAGTTTCTCATAATCTTTAATGAACATTATAGATCAGCAAGCATCACAGAGGTCACTTGGGTGCAGCCTGGAGAGTGCGACACCAGTAGGTAGTGAGGGATACGAATACGAGATAACGGGACCACGGGATCGGCCTCTGACGTATCGCCCGCTTGACTTTCCCCACAAATCACACTATTCGTTTCAATAGCCAGCCAGCTGAGAGGCACCCACATCCAAAGCTGCCATTACGGCAGTGCAACGAAGTGAGCTGTCCAGCATGTCAACAAAATCGGCTCTGAAGGCAGTGCGCATTGCGCTGGACTCCAGGGATTTCGAAGATGCTGCCGAAAAAGCCAAAGCGGTGGTGAAGCAAGAGCCTCAAAACTATCATGCGTATGTGACGACCAAGCTTTGCTAATTCGAATTTGAGCTAATCTCGATTCTACGACCAGGAACGTCTTTCTGGGTCTAGCGCTGGATAAATTAAACAAAAATGAAGAATCCGAGCGCGCATATCTCGCAGCAACTCGTGCAAAATCCGACGACAAGACAGCGTGGCAGGGATTGATCAATCTCTACGAGAAACAGGGAGGCTTTAAGCTAGATGCTTATCATGAGGCAGCTCTGAGACTTGGTCAGATATTTGCCGAAGTGTACGTGTCGTATTGGGAGGTGTATATACCAAGAACAAGTGCTAATCCGATCCTAGCGATGACAAGCACCGTTGCCAGGATGTGGTGGATAAATATATCAAGTTCGCGAAGAAGCAGGGCACTCGATCGCAATATAAAAAAGCCCTCGCCCTACAGCTCCCAACGAATCCGCTTTATAGCTACCTCGAAGGACGGATACCGCATCCTTCCCACACATACCTCCGCCTCATAGAAATGACGGAATCGGAGGAAAAGGAATTTATTAATAGAGAAATTGGAGAGCGAAGGACCCGGCTCGGTGCGAGAATCGATCATGTGACCATGGAGGTGAAAAGAGAGGCTTTCAAACGGGGCGAGCTTGAGCAGCTATACCGTGGGATAGTGGATTGGTCCCATGATGACCAAGTTCGACGTACCTACGAAGAAAAGCTTCTACAGCGAGCTTATGAAGTACTTGTCGTTCTCCCGCCCGCCGAAAAGGCTGAAAAGCGCGCTGAGGTCTTGCAAGCTGCTCGCGGCATGGTCATCATTAAACACCCTTTTGAGCTGGCCTGGAAGATTATACTCGAGTGGCACGACATTCAAAGCTTCTCGGAGTGGGACCTCAATTTCCTAAAGGACTTTATCGAGTTCTTCCCAGAAGATGGTCTTACGAAGATTCTGAAAGGCTTCTTAGCCAGTGACCTCTCCCCCTTCCCGAAAGAGACGAAGGAGACGAAGGAATCTACACCCACTGAGGAAGAGACCGAAAATGGAAACGGCGATAATCACGAGCTGGATGTACAGGATCGCTTGTTAATGATGGTGGAAGGCCTCGAAGCATCTCGCTCCTCAGTCGTCGCAAATCGCATCATGGGTGAGCTTTATTTGTCACTGGAAGAATACGATAGCGTTGTGGATGTTGCACGGAAGGGTCTCTCAAATATCACAGATCTCGCCAGGCTGACTGGGGTAGGCCTGGTCAACACTACTGACTGCCTAAAAACTCTACTGGCGAATTCTTTGATCTACTACCAGATCCCTCGGCATCACCCCGAAGCTAAAGAAATCTTCGAAGAGATTTTGCAGAGAAAACCAACATCCACAGCCTCTCTGCTGGGCATTGGATTGATTCTCAAGGTCGACGAGGACTATGCTGAAGCTGTCAACTTCTTGGAGCGTGCTCTAGAGCGTGACCCGTCTAACCTTAAAATCAGAGGTGAGCTTTCGTGGTGTAAGGCCCTCAATGGGGACCTTGAGACTGGTCTGCACGGCCTTCGGGATGTGTTCGCTGAATTACAAGACACGGAGTCGCCAAATCGTGATTTTAAGAGTGAGATCCTTTACCGCATAGGTTACTGCCAATGGGAGCTCGATCCATCGCCAACTGCGCGCAAGGATCGCAATGGTGCTTATGCCAGTTTTCTTGGATCCATTCAATCCAACATCAACTTTGCCCCTGCATACACGAGCTTGGGTATCTACTATGCGGACTACAAAAAGGACAAAACACGAGCACGCAGGTGCTTCCACAAGGCGTTCGAATTATCCGCGTCCGAAATCGAAGCCGCTGAACGGCTCGCGAGGACATTCGCGGACCAAAAGGAATGGGATTTGGTTGAAGCCGTGGCTCAGCGCGTCGTTGATTCGGGCAAAGCAAAGCCTTCACCGGGCTCAAAGAGAAGGGGCTATAGCTGGCCATATGCCGCTTTGGGTACTGTTCAAATGAACAAGCAGCAGTATGCCCAAAGCATTGTCTCGTTTCAATCAGCTCTGAGAATCTCGCCAGGCGACTACCACTCGTGGGTTGGCCTTGGAGAAAGCTACCATCACTCTGGAAGATATATTGCCTCTGCGAAAGCTTTCGATCATGCTCAGCAATTGGAATCAGCTCTTTCACCCGATGAAAGAGAGCATATTTGGTTCGCAAGGTACATGCTCGCAAATGTAAAACGGGAGCTCGGTGAATTTGAAGACGCCATCTCACGCTATGAGGATGTTTTGAAATTCCGACCGAATGAGCTTGGGGTGACCATTGCGTTGCTTCAGACTCTCACCGAAAGTTCGTGGAAGAGCCTCGAATTAGGCTTGTACAATGACTCTGTCGAACTGGCGCGTAAGGCTATAGTTGTCGCGGCATCGCTTGCGAAGGAACGTGTGGGCATTTTCAATCTGTGGAAGGCCGTCGGCGACGCCTGCTCTATGTTCACTTACGTCAAAGGAAAGGCGAGCAAATTCCCAGTTCAGGAAGTGAAGGCGCTGCTTACAACTCAAGTTGAGCCCTCGGCTTTCGATATATTTGCCGAAATAGACGAGCTTGGCCAAAGCTGTCTGTCGCTTTTCGATGAGGTTAGTGACACTGTCAGTCCGTCAGATAAGTGTATATATGCCTCTATTCTTGCATACAAGAGAGCTATTCACGTTTCGGCGCAAGATATACATGCTCAAGCAGTTGCCTGGTACAATCTGGGATGGGCAGAATACAGGGCTCTCAGATGCGTGCAGGTGCACTCTGGCAGCAAGGGCAAGAAGCCGACACGCCGGTTCCTGAAGACAGCAATGCGCTGCTTCAAGAGAGCGATTGAATTGGAAGCCGGCAATTCGGAGTTTTGGAACGCCCTGGGTGTGGCAACTACAAATATGAGCCCGAAGGTTGCCCAACATGCTTTTGTGAGGAGTTTACATTTGAACGAGAGAAGCGCACAAGTTTGGACTAACTTAGGAACGCTTTACCTCATTCACAATGATATCCAACTCGCCAATGAAGCTTTCACGCGCGCGCAATCCACCGATCCGGACTACTCTCTGGCGTGGGTTGGCCAAGGGTTCCTGGCTTTGCTATTTGGGGACCCACATGAAGCAAGAGGTCTTTTTGAGCATGCCTTCGACATCTCCAACTCCTCAACCACGTTACCGAGACGCCAGTACACGCTCACCTTGTTCGACCGCCTCATCTCAGACTCTTCTGCATCGAATGAGATATCACAACTCATTCAGCCATTTTTCGCGCTCCTGCAACTTTCCTCTCAAGACCCGTCCAATTTACAGTTTATGCATCTTACCGCGCTCATGGCCGAGAGAATTGGCGAGCTTTCAGATGCGGAGGCTAGCTTGCACGTCGTATGTTCTGGTGTCGAGGCGGAATATGAGGTGTCTGAATCGACCTCGTCGCTCTCTAGATACGCACAGTCGAATGCAGATATGGCTCGTGTTCTTCTTGCACGCCAAGAATTTGAGCAAGCAGTAGAGAAAGCGGAAATGGCGCTTACCCTATCTGGTGAAGAAGACGCAGAGAAATCCGACCCGGAGGCAAACAGAAAACTACGTCTGTCAGCTCATCTGACTGCTGGATTGGCGCAATATTACTTGAAGTCAATGGACAACGCGATTGACATGTTCCGAGACGCCCTGCAAGAGGCAGATAATGCACCGGAGGTAGTATGTCTCCTAGCACAGGTTCTGTGGGCCAAGGGTGGTGATGAGGAGCGGACCGTGGCTCGCCAGCAGCTGTTTGACTGTGTTGAAGAACACCCTGACCATGTTGGAGCGGTATCGCTCTTGGGAACTATTGCGCTACTAGATGACGACAAGGACGTCATTGAAGCAGTTGCTTCAGATCTTCAGAACATGATCACAAGAGATGACATTGATATCCACGACCGGACTAGGTTGACTAAGCTGTTGACAGCGATCTCTACTTTGGGCTTGACTGAGGACTCCCAAATTCCAGAGGACCTCAGACGCCTTGGAGAGGCTACAGCTGCCGTCATGAGGTTGCCAGGTCAGCCACAAGGCTGGCAGGAGCTAGCAGCAGCATCTCAGGAACTGTATCCCGCGGAGATGGCTGTTGACAGAGCACTGCGAAGCGTTCCACCACGGAGCAATCTCGATGCTGTCGACCTCTGTGACGCGTATGCACAGACTGGCAAGGCAGGTGATGCGATCAAGGCGATTATGGTCGCACCATGGAAGCAAAGTGGCTGGGAAGAGCTCAAGCATGCTGTGTCAGGATTAGTCTAACCCTTTTGACGACCTAAGGGAATGTTGTACTGTAGATATTAGACACTTTAGATGTTTAGAAATACGTACCTTGCGTATATGGTCAATCAATGCTATGATTATTCTTTTAGAGTAAAAAAGGCCTCGTTTCCGGCAGTTTTCGGTCAAGGTAGAGTCATAGCAAGGTTAGCCTGTCGCCATTCCTGTAGAATTAACATATTTCCTTGGTTCTGGCAAGGCCACGAAGCACAAGGACATCCACATAGGAGAGGCATAGAATCTACCCTGGTGGAGCCATAGGCATGACCGAGTATTATGATAGAGGCTACTTCATATGTAGACTTAGATGACCAGGGCCTGCCTTCTTCAAGAACGGAGATCGCGCAGAGAAAAGTCACTAGATCTCTGAACGTGCCTCCTTCAGTGCTCCTTGGATTTTATGTTTGCGATCACAACGCCTGCGACCTTTCCATCTCTGTAATACGAGCCGTTAACTTGGCCTTTCTTCCCTCTTTCCAGGCTTGGTCCAAGGTCTCAATCTTGCCTCCAAGCAGGGTTACAGATTCAGGCGTCAGTAGAATCATACCGCGGGCGACCGTCGCATCACGCAGGAGGAGTTTCGCGCCAATGGGTATCTTACCCAGCCCAATGCCTTCGACGCGTTTCAGCTCGATAGCTACGGCACGAGTCCCTGCCGCATCCTGTAGTATCAATCGATGAGGGCCGTTGCTATTACTTCCAGCCCCGCTTGCCGCTGAATTTGCGGCCCTGCTATTACCAGTACGTGCTGCGCGCTCTTCACTGTCTTCGTCCACGTTGACTGTCCGCACGATCTCTCGCCCCCGAATAGCCTCGCCGCGTTCAATGCGCTCAATCGCTTCAACTTGACTCCATAAGCTTGTTCCGATGTCTTCTATATCCACGATTTGCAACGGGACTGGGCCTTGTAGACGCCTTTCTTGAACGGAAGTATCGAATACGTCAACAGGAAGTAGGGACGATGGTGTCCTTGTTGACAGCGATTCTCTGAAATCTGAGGCAAGAATACGAAATAGAGCGGTGCGAACTATGGCGGATAGCGGGGCATTGCGTTGAGATGCTGTCGATGAGGAGATGAAGTTGTGCAGCCAGGATGGAGAGATGGGGAGGGATTTGCTGTTGAGTAGTTCGGCAGATATTTGCGCTTGGATGTTCGCCATCGTGGTTGCAGACTGTATTTAGATCAATCGGCAGTTGGACGAGTATACACAAATCCTGTCATGCTCATAATGATTGCACATATTGCAGGCCGATCAATATGTGAAAGCTGAAGCTATTCTCGATTTCTGATCGAATTCCGGTTGGGGAAAGCACAGACCACTGCTTAACTCCGTCTCCTATCATTTACGTTTCTCCCGACTGTCGTATCATTTCACAATCACTTTGGCCTCTTTCTCTCACCGTCAAAAGTCCTGACCTGCCTTCATAATGTCGACGCTGTCATCTCCCCGTCCGTCGATTGCTTCATCTCGAGCGCACTCACCCACGCCAGCATCATCACGCCGTCCATCTCTTGACACTTTGAATACGAATGTCGGCGGAGGTCTAAGTGCCTCGTCTACCCCGTCCACAGCCCGAGCCGTCTCTCCATCTCTCCATCCAAGACGCAATCGCACCGCACTTCGGGACTACTATAATTTAAGACCTTCCGCTGCTGAGCCCTCAGGCAATGGAAACAACTTCCGCTCCCGCAGCGTCCCAAGACACACCGATGCTGGGGACATGTCCAGTCCGTCCTCAGTAGTAGCTACAGGAACAGAATTGGATAGCCCGGACTTCGACCCTCAACGATACGTTAGTCACCTGTTGGCTACTTCTTCATTGGCGACTGTGCTCAAGGCGGAGAATACTCTTGTTGGCGATATCAAAACACTTGACAGTGAACGCAAGGCCCTTGTCTATGACAACTACTCGAAGCTGATTCGGGCGGTGGAAACCATTGGCAAGATGCGCCGAAGTATGGACGAGCGTGGCGCTCCTCTCACTATGACGAAGACTCTCGGTCCGGCTATTGCATTTGTGGCGGAAACGGCCACAGGTCTGATACAGGAAGGCGAAGAGCAGCGGCGGCGCATGCGAGAGGCCAAGGCTACAGACGAAACGGACCGCCGGAAGGCAGAGAAGCAAACGGTACGGTGGGTTCTTGGAGCACCAAGTCGGCTAGAGAAGCTCCTGTCCGAGGGCAAGGAGGATGAGGCCACCAATGATTGGGAGGAGATACGGAACCTGCTTGATAAATGGGAGGGCGTTAATGGGGTGGCTGAGATTCGTCAGGCTTGTGAGAAGGCCATGAAACGCGATGAAACCCCTTGAGAAATCGAGAAGGACCGTCTCTCACCGAAAGGATTGTGTTGAATGAGATCAACACCTCTTCATCCCGCATATGAGCATACATTATGCCCGTTTATTAACTATGACTCGATCATCTGGCATTGACACCTCTCATTCAATCCTTACATGCACATGGGCACTGGGACGTGTGTTTCCCATGCTAAGTCAAGTCGTGCTTTCCGGACCCACAATCAGAATGCCTTGGGAATCAGGTATCAGCTTCATCCACAAGGACTAGGAGGACATTGCCGTGATGGCCGACCAAACGCATGAGTCCCGTGGTGAACTTGTACTGCATATGAACTTATGTGATAGCCGATTGCACGCCCCTAATGCTATCGCGCTTCTGGTCGTTGAGACAAGCAAAGACCAGCCATGTGTTCCTACCTGGGGTAATGGCCTATTGCTGAGCGAAGCGTTACACACTATGAAGCTAGGGTATTGTGCGTACTGCCCCAAACAATGCCTTGATCTTATCCTCGATCTACGCATGCTTTGTGCATTCATCTACTGTGGGATCGGTGCATTCGCATATGCATGACTTACGCACCTATCCATGCTCACATAGTTGCATGACTTCATAGCAATAGCAGGTTGAGTGCTGAGAAGTGGGCTGCACCTCTGGCAGCAACGTTGGGATTGGTCCATGTCTCACATCGCTCGGCCTGCGCACGCAGCATATTAGGCTTACTATCCACGCACACATTGATGTCAGTGAACCCAACATCTGAGATTACGGTATCTCCTACACTAGTAAAAAGCGTCTGCCAACAACAGTGTGAAACGTACACCCTCGCCTACCTCATGCTCCTAAGGTCTGCGCACCGCGCCTTGAGGTCACGAAGCGAGCCAACGACTCCTCGCCAGAGATCCTTATATAAGATTTGTTGCATATCACGTTCCCTTCCTGGGAGTTCATGATAACAGCCTGTTTATTGAGTAGGAAGCTATATAGTCAAGCCGTCAACATACTCAGAGGCTCTCAAGCTTATTCACCCCTACCCTCTAATCACTAGGCCGACTTACCGTTCATCTAGAGATGATTTGCTTCCAAAGGCAAGCCCGCTATGGTTATGAAAATGTTTGTTTGCTGGGGTCGTGCCTCGTTAGTCAGCCTTTAGTTTTCTACCACTCCATAAATTCTTGCCTCATCTGGTACATCTGTACACTATTCAAATTGCCTATTCAGGAAGTGCATCAGGCTTCATTCTTCATTCCTTGGTTGTAGGCTACTACACTCAAGTCACATGGTCATAGTACGCTAGACTGTCCTAGGGATTCTCATGTTACAACCCAGTATGCTGTATTATCAGCTGCGTGTCACTGGCATCGAATCGTCATGATAGCTTTAAGTACACGCTTCTGGCAGGTCAATTGTATATCGTAAGGTAGCAACCTGTTGTTGTAAGCGGTGTGATTGTAAAGCTTGCCCACTCCGACTCGGTGTGGTGATTGGAGCGGGAGCGCGTGGAATTTTTCTGAAGCTTTCTTTGGCAATTTTGGGTCTTCCCGCTTTCTCCAAGAAATCCATCCAACAACTCCCGCCCGCCTCAAGCACAATATAAGGTATTCGCAGTTAAACGATAAGACCTCGAAGTACCGTCGAGGAGTGAGGGTAAATATATCCTCACGTGATCTTGGAGGAAAGAAGGAGAACCTAAGATAGACGCAGATCTCACTCGTCATTAGGCAGGCATCTGCGGAGGGCAGAATCGGTGAATCGCGGTGATTATTCTGCCCGCCATACAAACAACATCAAAACCGCTCGTTTATTGTTCCTTTTTCTGGAACAATTCTAAAGAAAGTGAAGACTGCGCAGAAAGCGTGAATGATGCAGGAATTGTTAGTGCAGCCTGAATTGGAAGTGAGCGCTTAAAGAACCCAGTGGGGCACTGAGACCTTCCTTCCTTTTCTGAGCCCATCATTATATAGTGACCACCATTAGGCTCTGGACTGGTCGACGGAATGGCCGCCCAAGATGAGCTCTCAGAAGGCGGCATGGCTGACCTCGTTCGGGCACTGGAGCTCATCCACAGCCCTTCGTCGACAAATGAACTCCGCAGGCAAGCTCTGACCTTCGTGGAATCTCAAAAGGAAAGCAAGCTAGCTGCTCGTAATGGGTTTCTTCTGGCTTCCCGGGTAGAAAACGCCCCCTTGGTCCGCTATTTTGGCTTGACACTCTTGGACCATGTACTGCGGCACACGTCTTTTACCTCCGCAGATCAGGTGGCCATCCTCAGAGACTTTGTGCTCAAGCTTGCTGAGTCAATCCGGCCAGAGGATCCGGCCTATTACCGCAACAAGATCCCGCAGTTATGGGCAGAGATTGCCAAGAGAAGCTGGGGCCTAGACTGGTTGGCAATGGACGAGATTCTTGTGCAGTTTTGGGGAGCCAGTCTTGTACACAAGGAACTTGTTCTGTCTATTCTGGAAACATTGTCAGAAGACATCTTCTACCGCGAAGACACCGTCTCATCCTTGCGAGGCACAGATCTCAACAGAGCACTAGTGGAGATCTGCACACCACTGTCAGTCTTTGAGGAAATCTATCCAAAGCGCGAGCACCATGTTGAGCTTCGTTGTGGGACCGAGGGCTGGCTCGCAAGGACATGCGAGTTCCTCATCTACTGTGTTGAGAACCTGCAAGCCTC